AAAAAAGTTGCATCAAAGGATTTTATCAAGAAAGTAAAAGTACAACCTACATAATAGAAAATATTTTCAAATTATATTTTTGATAAGGGCCTAATACTTCTTACATATATATCTATATATACCTCTTACAATTCAATAATAAAAAGACAAAGAACCCAATTTAAAAACAGGCACAGGATTTGATTTGCAACAGCATGGGTGGACCTAGAGCAGATTATGCTATGTGAAATAAATCAGACTGAGAAAGACAAATACCATATGATCTCACTCATATGTGGAATCTAAAAAACAAAGTGAATGAATGAACAGGCAAACAAAAAGCAGAAACAGACCCATAGATACAGAGAACAAACCGATGGTTGCCAGAGTGGGAAGGGGCAGGAGGGAGGGCAAAATAGGTGGAGGGGGGCGGGAGGTCCAGGCTTCCCGTTATGGAAGGAATAGGTCACAGGGATGAAAGGGACAGAGTAGGGAGTATAGCCAATAATAGCATTATAGTGTTGTGTGAGTCTGTGGATTTATCAAATCACTGTGTTGTACACCTGACAAGAATACAATGTCCGTCAACTCTACTCAAACAAAAAAATGTCTTAATAAAAATGGGCAAAGGATCTGAATGGACATTTTCTCAAAGACTACATACAAATGGCCGATAAGCACAGGAACAAAAAGATGCTCACCCCCATCAGTCACTGGGGAAGTGCAAATCAAAGCCAGAATGTGATACCACTTCACACCCACTAGGATGGCTATTAATCAAAGAACGAAAAAGAGGGGCGCCTGGGTGGCTCAGTGGTTAAGGGTCCGACTCTTGGTTTTGGCTCAGGTCATGAACCCGGGGTCCTGGGATCGAGTCCTGCATCGTAGGGCTCCCTGCTCTGTGGGGCGTCTGCTTCTCCCTCTCCCTCTGCCGCTCCCCCCGCTTGTGCTCTCTCACTCTCTCTTTCTGGCTCTCTCTCTCTCAAATAAGTAGATAAAATCTTAAAAAAAGAAAAAGAAAAAACATGTTGGGTAGGATGTGGAGAAATTGTCTTAGAGAACATCAAGACCATGTGTCGTGATTTTCTCCCCACCAGCCTGTTTGGAAAAACCCTGTGTCAGGGGCACCTGAATGGGCAGTCGGTACAGCATGCAACTCTTGAACTTGGGGTCATGAATTCAAGCCCCACGTGGGGCCTGGAGCTTACTTAAAAAAAGAAAAAATTAATCTCCAAAAAGCAATGGGATTTGAAGTTTTCTCTGTCGGGGAGTGAAGGGAAAAACTATGAAAATGAAAATATCTGACAAGGAACCAATAATGAGAGTGAAGGGGGGTGGCTCCCAAGGAAAGGGGGTGAGGTCCCCAAAGAGAAGGGATGTGATCCCCAAAGAGAAGGGGTGCCACCCAAGGAGAAAGGGGTACCTCTGTGTTTGACTTCCAGGACCCTCTTATATCATTACTTAAAATCCTTCAGTAGCTGTTTCCTAAAGGTCAAGCCTAATTTCCTAGCACCACCTTCATGAGACCACCCTTCCCAGCGCCTCTCTCCCAGCCCCTGCTGCTCCCGCTGCCCCACTCCCCAGCCTCCCCGGCTGCATTATTTCTTTTTTTTTTTTTTTAAAGATTTTATTTTATTTATTTGACAGAGAGAGAGAGACAGCTAGAGAGGGAACAGAAGCAGGGGGAGTGGGAGAGGGAGAAGCAGGCTCCTGGCCGAGCAGGGAGCCCGATGCAGGGCTCGAACCCAGGACCCTGGGATCATGACCTGAGCCGAAGGCAGACGCTTAACGACTGAGCCACCCAGGTGCCCCCCGGCTGCATTATTTCTGGTGCGGAGACTGTACCACGCTCTCTCACCAGATCCCAGGATTGAACTCTACCCCACCTCTCAACTGTGTATTTCCTGTTCTTGCTTTAAGAATCAGACCAAGCATCGCCCATACGTCTTCTGCCAAATTAAACAATCAGAGGCAAGAAGCAACTTTGTTCATCTTGGAAAGGAAATGGTTTGGGCTGGTGTATACTGTGAATTTCTGCTTTAAAATACCCACCAAGTGGCGCCTGGGTGGCTCGGTTGGTTGGGCGTCTGCCTTCAGCTCAGGTCATGATTCCGGGGTCCTGGGATTGAGCCCCACGTCAGGCTCCCTGCTCAGGGGGAAGCCTGCTTCTCCCTCTCCCGCTCCCCCTGCTTGTGTTCCCTCTCTCACTGTGTCTCTCTGTCACATAAATAAATAAATAAATAATCTTTTAAAAAAAGAAATAAAACTTCTAAGTTTATTTTTCCAAATTTTTCATCAGATACAGAAGTTGGATTTTAGTGATTCCTTTGTTGTCACTCATTAAAATAAGGAGGGTTTTTTTTAATTTATTTTTTTTAAAGATTTTATTTATTTATTAGACAGAGAGAGAGAGCACAAGCAGGGGGAGCAGCAGAGGGGGAGGGAGAAGCAGACTCCCCGCCGAGCGGGGAGCCCGATGTGGGGGCTCGATCCCAGGACCCTGGGATCATGACCTGAACTGAAGGCAGCCACTTAACCGACTGAGCCACCCAGGCGCCCTAAGGAGGGTTTTTAAAAAATATATTTTATTTCTGCCACCAACTCATCCAACTGACAAGGCCTTGTGTCTGCCCCTGCAGGACGTCTACAAAATTGGTGGTATCGGTACTGTCCCTGTGGGTCGAGTGGAGACTGGTGTTCTTATACCCAACCTGGTGGTCACCTTGGCTCCAGTCAGTGTTACAACGGAAGCAAAGTCTGTTGAAATGCACCATGAAGCTTTGAGCGGGGCTCTTCCTGGGGACGATGTGGGCTTCAATGTCAGGAACGTGTCTGTCAAAGATGTTCGTCGTGGCAATGTGGCTGGTGACAGCAAAAATGACCCCCCCCCCATCCATGGAAGCAGCTGGCTTCACGGCTCAGGGGATCATCCTGAACCTGAAGGAGATTGGTCATCATTCTGGAAAAAAGCTGGAAGATGGTCCCAAGTTCTTGAAATCCGGTGGTGCTCCTATTGTTGATACGGTTCCTGGCAAGCCTTTGTATGTTGAGAGCTTCTCCGACTCTCCTCCTCTGGGCCGTTCTGCTGTTCGTGACATGAGACAGACGCTTGGTGGGGTGTCGTCAAACAGTGGACAAGAAGGCAGCTGAAGCTGGCAAGGTCACCATGTCTGCCGAGAAAACTCATAGGCTAAATGAATATTAACCCCAATACCTGCCACCCCAGTCTTCATCAGTGGCGGAAGAATGGTCTCAGAACTGTTTATGTCATTGGCCATTTAAGTTTAATAGGAAAAGACTGGTTAATTATAACAACGCATCGTAAAACCTTCAGGAGAAAAGGAGAATGTTTTGTGGACCATTTGTTTTTGTGTGTCTGTGGCAGTTTTAAGTTATTAGTTGTTTTTTAGTTTTTTGTTTTGTTTTGTTGAGAGAGGGGTGGGCAGGAGGAGCAGAGGGAGAGGGAGAGAGAGAATCTCAAGCAGGCTCCATGCTCAGCATGGAGCAGGGAGCCCGATTCGGGGCTCAATCCCAGGACCCTGGGATCGAGACCTGAGCTGAAGGGAGACACTTCACTGACTGAGCCCCCCAGGCGCCCGTAAGCTTTGCTTTTAGTTTGAAAAATGGTTTGGAGGTTTAGCTAAGTGTCATTCCAAAAAGTACCTGATGAGAGGGAATATTGGAAGATGACTATTTGAAGTTGAACTGATGAACAGGATGAAAAGAGAAGAGCACTTTAAAAATTACTCTGGTGGGGTAATTTTATAACTTAAAAATTGCATGCAGTGATTGGTAAATTAACAGTATTTGGGTGACGACCCCTTAATTCTTGGCTTTAGATAGCTGGCAAATCTCTCAGAACACCAGTGCATTTGATAAAACAACTATGAATCTTGACCATTTGAACATGAGTCCTGTCAAGATCTTGTTAGGTCCCTGAATAGGCTTTTTTTGCCTAAGAAAGGGAAGTTTTTCTTTTTTTTTTTTTTAAAGATTTTATTTATTTATTTGACAGAGAGATAGACGGAAGAGCAACAAGCAGAGGGAGTGGCAGAGGGAGAGGGAGAAGCAGGCTCTGCACTGAGCAGGGAGCCCAATGCGGGACTTGATCCCAGGACCCTGAGATCATGACCTGAGCCGAAGGCAGACGCTTAACCATCTGAGCCACCCAGGCGCCCAAAAAGGGAAGTTTTTCAAGCTGCTTTGAAATAGGGCAAAAAAACAAACAGGACACCTTGTGTTTTATAAAGCAAACGATGCTAAGTGAATGTATCCTATAACTTGGCGGCCATAGGCGAGAAATGACTGCAATTGAAAAATTTTTTTCGTTTAGTTCTGAGCGAGGTAAAATGGTCTCTTAACAATACTGTCAGGGGCACTGATGAGGCCTGTAAATTAGAAACTAATAAAAGATTTTGTCCGCAACTCAAAAATAAATAAATAAAAATAAAAAGATTTTATTTATGCATTTATTTATTTGAGAGCAAGAGGGAACACAAGCAGGGGGAGGGGGAGAGGGAGAGGGAGAAGCAGACTCCCCGCTGAGCAGGGAGCCCGATGCGGGGCTCGATCCCAGGACCCCGAGATCGTGACCTGAGCCGAATGCAGACGCCAAGGCGCCCCTCTGGTTAATTATTTTCATTTGGAGCTTTCCAACTGGGGAACCGCAAATGGGTTCTAGATATGGACGCCCGTTTTCTTCCATTTATCACTTTCTAAGTCAGCCATGAGACAAAAGTCTTGAGAATCGCCGTGTGAATGGTTTGCTCTGTGTTAGGTCTGGTTTCAGGACGTGTGATAAAGCCCATCCACTTAGAAAAGATGGGCTACGTTCTTTGGCCACTATTTGCTTTAGGATAGTTTGTTCTAACTTCTTTTCTTTCGTTGTCTCACATACCTTTGTGTTGCCATTTAAACTCGATTTTGTTTCAAAATCATGTCTGGCTCATAAAGGGTGTGGAGTAACATGCAAGGACCCCCTATCCTATTCTTGAAACAGTTTATATAAACGTGGCTATTATCGGCCCCCGGGGGGAGACCCGAATGATGAGGGAGGAGGGGTAGAGTGTCTAGAATAAAATGTATCCACCGTGGGCACAGACCACGGAAAGGGGACTCTTGGCAATGTGGGGACTGCGGGGGCCAGGACGGCAAGCACCGAGGGCTGGCGCGTGGCTCGGGTGGGAGGCGGCGCTCAGATGGCCACGCTGTTTTCCACCAGGCTGGGCAGCAGGTAGTCGTAGGGTATGTCCAGCTTTGCATTCCGGGTCTTGATGTCCTTCTCCAGGGCATCCAGCTCCTTCCTGAGCTCCTTCAGCACGGCCTTGGGTCCGGGGCCTGAAAAATACTCCTCCTGGTGCTGGCCCAGAGCCACCTGGGCGGAGAGAGAAAGGCAGCTGAGAACCTGGGACCCTCAGCGTGGGGTGCTGGGAGTCCCCGGGGCGCCCCCGCCCGCACCATCATGGGCTGGCGGTGGCCCAGCTGCCAGACGATGGACATCTGCAGGGAAGCCTGGTGGAAGTTGGGCAGTGTTGCCATCACTGTCCCCAGGGTGGCATCCTTGGTGGTCGGCGGCGGCATCCGCATGGTGCAGGGCGCGTTAGGGACCCAAGAGTACCAGTCCAGCTAGGGAGGGGCAGATACGCAGGGTCAGTGCCTGCGAAGCATGGAAACCCCTCGGCCCACCTGCACCCAGCCCCGGCCGTCACTGCAGGTGCAAATTCCCAGCTGCCCCTCCGGTGAGTACCTGGCCCAGGTGGGCGGAGGAGTGCTGGCCGGTGCAGGTGAAAATGCACATAGTGAGAAAGTGGCGCAGCTGGTCCCGGGACTGCAAGGAGTTGGGGAAGCCTGCAAGGGGTTCCGGGGAGTGAGCCGCTGGGGGGCCAGGAGCAGACACAGGGCAGAGCCGGGAGATGGCAGGGGTGAGGAGGGGCACCGAGCACCGACCATCAGCGCTGAGCGCAGACTGGGTCGTAATGGGGGTGGGGGGATCTGCTCGGAGGGTCCCATCCCGTGCTGGCCCGCAAGAGCCAATTAATTACGTTACCGTTCAGGTGTTTAGCGAGCTGCCTGACATCACACTGGTAACCACAGTGGGAATATTTGCACCGTGGAAGTGGGCAAATCCTACAATTCAGGGTTTGGTTGTATTTTGCTTTGTTTTGTTTTTCCAGGGGGCTGGTTGTTAAACATTTACGAGCAACCAGTGGTCCCACTGTGTCTGGGACCTCGAGGGGTTCCCAGGGCATAGGATGGGGCCCTGTCTCTAGCCGATAGGGAAGGAATCTGGGAAGGCCTCTGGGCATTTTCATAGGGCTGGAAATGCTTCTGGTAGATTGCACAAAAGTTAGGATTCTGGAGAGGTTCCCAGGGGAGCTCTCTTGTGCGGGAGGTCCCAGGCGGGGGCTAATCTCACCTCTGTCCTGGGCCCCAAGCAGCCCGACCTCAGTGATCTCTGCACACCAGGACTGCAGCTCCAGATCGTCTCTCACAGCCTCGTCCGTCTTGTAGTGGAGATGCACGATGCCCTGCACATAGCTGCCCTCCCCCCCAGGGTCTGAGAGCCGAAGCTCACTGGGAGCCTCCCGGCCCTGGGCTCCTCCTCCTCGCCACCTGGCCGCTCAGGGGCCCCAGCCCCCCAGCCAAGACACAGACCTCCCGTCCTAGCTTCCTCCCCTAGCCCTGCCATCCCCCTCCTCACCGAGCGAGGATTTCCCACAGCCGCAGGGCATCTTGGGCATAGAAGGAAGACTTGACTCCCAGGAGCCCCCGGTCAGCCAGGTCATCGGGGGGACAGAAGGAGCGATAGGTTAGAAAGGCTCCAGCTCGCTGGAGCAGCTCCACGTGGCCTCCGCCACCTGTGCTCACCACCTGAGAAGCAAGGACCAGGCAGGGTCAGGCACATCAGCCTGCCCCGAGGCCAGAGAGCCGGGGGGCAGGCTGGGCTCCGGGATGCCCCTGCTCTCCTCATACCTGGTCGAAAACTCCCATGTCAGAGACGAGCCCGGTCCTGGCCCGGAGGTTAATTTCCAAAGTGTAGCGCAGGTGGGGAATGATAAGCTGCAGGGACAAGAGCGGGGAAGGGCAGAGTCAGAAAAGAGCCCGGCTAGTCCCCGCTCGAAACAGGGCTGAAGAGCGGGAAGGCGCCGACGCCCCGGGAAAAGCACAGACGTGAAGCTCAGTGGCCCCTGGACACTGCTGACTTATTGCTCTATGACAACTGAAAGAAATCATCCTCCTTTTCTGTTCAATTATGACTGTGCAAGGTCGAGCTCAATGTTTCTCATCCTTTTGTTTCATTATCACTCCTCTAAGTAGCCTTTTTAGATGTCATATATACATAGTATTTATATATTTATACATGATATACATTTTTAAAAGATTTATTTGTTTGTTTATTTGTTTAACACAGAGAGAGAGAGCACAAGTAGGCAGAGCAGCAGACAGAGGGAGAGGCAGAAGCAGGCCTCCCGCCGAGCAGGGAGCCCGACGCGGGGCTCGATCCCGGGACCCCGGGATCATGACCTGAGCCGAAGGCAGCCGCTTAACGGACTGAGCCACCCAGGCGCCCCATGATATACATTTTTAGATAAAATTTCTCCCCATGAAATTTTAATGCTACAGATGTACTGTATCTGTTATGTACTGTTTGTGTATACGTGCTTTATACATAAAAACAGTACTTTTTTTGCCTTCCCAGAAGCACTTTCACCCCCTTGGGGGGCGTAACAGCCCCCCCCCCACCGAGAATGCACGGCCTAACTTGCCTACCTCTGGAACTTCATCTCCTACCCTTTCCCCTTTGTCCATTCCACTCACCTTCTTTCTGTCCTTCAAACAGGCCAAGCTTGTCCCTGCCACGGGACCTTTGCACTAGCTGATCCCGGCCTTGACCATCTCACGGCTGGCACCTTGTAGTCTCATTCTCAAAGGAGCCTTTCCTGACCACCCGGTTTAACTCACTCCCACATCACCCTGTCCTGATTCTCTGCATTGTACTTACTACAGCTGATATGCTCCAATACAGTCTTTATTGCCTGTTAGCCCTTAATGGAAATGAAAATCCCCAAAGATCCGGACCTTGCCTGTCTGGCTTCCCACCGGCATCTAGAACAGCTCTTGCCCCATGGGAGGACCCCAAGAAAACAAGTGAATGGGTGGATACTCTGTTCTGATCGTCTGCGATGAGCCAGACTACTGTCGTTGTCCTGAGTCCCCCTAACCGGCGTATGGGTTACCAGTTTAGGACTCTTCAAAACTGGCTGGAAAAAATACTTTATGCTATTTGTATGGTCCTGCCTTGTTGGAATCCTCAGCCGTTTGTGTGTGCTGTTTATATAGTGTACGTCTATCTGTGCTTTAGACATAAAAAGAGTAAGACTTCTCACCCCTCACCCCGCCGATGACTCCTTTTCGCCTCCCTGGGGGGACACATGGCCCTGTTCCGAAGGCACAGCGGGCCAGCCTCCCGCTCCCGGCTCGCTCGTCCTTCTGGGCTGGCTCTCCAGGCCCTGAGAGTCCCCCGGGAGGGTGCCTCCAGATGCGGGACCGCGCCGTGGGGCAGGGAGAGGGGCAGGCAGGAGCAGAGGGAGTAAGGGGCTACCTTGAAGACAGGGTGTATCGATGGAAGGCACCTCATGGTGGCCACAGTGATGACCTCCGCCATCAAGTGTCCCCGCAGAAGATGAGACTGCAGCTCGTGCATCTGGAAATCAGCGCTGCGGACCCAGCATTTGGCCAGGAGCCAGACCATCGGGGGATCCGTGGGCAGGAAAAGCGGCGGCGGGGAGGATCCCACGCGAGGCAGCTGGAGCTGAAGCGGGGACCAGAGAGCGGGACGAGTGCCAGGCGCCCACAGGTCCCCTCCCTTGCGTGCCTAACCCCTCGGGCTCCCTCCCAGTTGCTGAGCTTTGCCCACCTGACTCTGCTAGTCCCCAGCAGCTTCTCCAACCCACTCGGCCCAGCAGCCTTCTGCAGAAATTGCCCCCACGGGGGCCTCCTCCGACCTTCCTTCCCCTTCGGTCCCCGCAGTGTGGACAAGATTCAGACCCTCTGCTTCCTCCGTCCCACACTCTTGCAACACCGCCCCCACACAGCAGGCTACATGTGCGTCCCCAGCTGTCACTGGCCACACGTTACGATATGGATGTTCCCCCCGTTACCTCAAAGTTGGCCTCCTGATTTTCCTCCTTCTCTGTCCCATTTCTGCACGAGTCTTGCCCGACTCCTCCTTTTCCTCTCTCCCTGAACCCAGGCCAGTTTAATTTTCCTCGGCACCCCACAGCTGGGGTTCCCCACGTCGGAGCCCGTCACCTCTGCCTTGGACAGTCGCTGAACCCATCACCCTAATCCCGGGATCGAGCATCCCCCTTGTCACCCCATCCTGAACGCAGGTGTCCGTCACAGCAGCTTTCCCCAGCTTCCTGTGTTCCTGCTCCTTAGCTGGCCCCCCCCACAGCCCACACCGTGTGGCCCCCTCCCCCACACCGTCCCCCAGCACCCCGAGCTCACACCGGTCAGACCTCAGCCTCCCCACGCAGCCCGCCCGCCCTCCTGCCTAAAGATCTAAGTCCTGAGCCTCTTCCGAGGCTCACGCCGCCTCCAAAGGGACCTTCCAGACTGCTCTGTCCTCAGGGACTTCCCCCATCCCGGAGTTTCTTCAGATTCGCCCGGCCTGTCTCTCCAGCTGGACCCCAACTTTCCTCCTTTCCCATTTCCTCCCTGGCGCCTTAGGCCTCTGCACTGAGTGGGGACTCAGTGCACCAGGGTGAGGGGCTGAGTGGGAGCGTGGCCCCTGGGGAGCAGAACTCCTGGGGCCTCTCACCTGGATGACCATGGGCAAGAGTTTCCCATCAGGCTGCAGCTTCAGCATGACCAGAGGGGCAGCCAGATGCTGCTGGCTGCACAGGATGACATTGGCCTTGATCCCGTCCAGCAGCGAGAAGTCCGCCTCGAACAGCGTGCCTCTCTGCGTGGGGGTTGGGGGGGGGGTAGAGGGCAAGGGCTGCTATCATTTCGACTCTGCCTCTGTCAACACTCTCCCCCCCTAGTTTGCTGGTCTCACTTGGGGAGGAAGGCATGGAGTTGCATTTCTCAGGATCACCCTGATTTCTCCTGTCAAATCCTTTCTTGCCATCCAGCTGGGCCCACAGTGGACCCCACCCCCATCTCACTGCCTGGCCTCTTTAGGGCTCCTGTGTCTATACCTGGAGCTCCTTCTCCAGCTGGACCTTCAGCTCCTCCATCCCGGGAGGGAACACCAGGCGAGCAGGAAGCTGCTTGGAGCGCCTCAGCAACATGGGGTTAGCGCCATTGAGAAACTGGTACCCAAACAAGGCGTCCTCTTTCCAGGAGTCCCGTACCTTCTCTGGGGATGGCGGTTGTAGAGGACTCCATGAGATTGGAGCACCCCCACCGAACCATCCCTACTTGACCCCAGCTAACTCGAGGCACCCAGGCCTCTGGTCTCCCAGCCCTGGCTCCCTGGATTGGGTGGGATCTGGGGGTAAAGATCCTGGGAGAAGCATTGGGGTGGGGTACTGACCAGCCAGTTTGCTCTGGCCACACCAGAAAATCCGGTTGAAGTCATCCAGATCATTCCAGCAAGTCAGAACATTTAAAGAGTCTTTGATGGCTAGGTCTGCCAGCCTTCAGGGAAGGAGAAGCAAAGAGTGTGAGAATTATGCTCAGAATCCAGCGGATAACCACAGGCACCCACCTTAGGCTGGCCCAACGCCATGCAGTCCTAAGCCCCTCAGCCTCCCCTGCACCAGAACACGTACCTCACGTCCAGCCCCCCTTGTTCTCACCCCTTGGCCAGCGAAGCCTCAAAATAAATTTTCTTGTCTTCCAGAAATCGCTCATCTATGGGGAGGTCACTGATGGTGGCCCCGGCCATGTTCAGGATCAGCCCATCCTTCCAGTTTCCCCAGCTGCGGCAGAGAAGTGAAAGCAGATGTTGGTTCTACGGAAGGGTCAGCAGCGTCTGGCGGGGTCGGTGGGGGGGGGGGGGGGCTGACCGGTATAGCCTCCTCCTATCTTTCAGCTCCTGCTCCCTGTGTTGCTTGAACAGACCTTGAGGGTCGTCTCCCAGGGTCCGGCCTAGATGTGGGGAGCAAGACGTGGGCAGTGAGGCCTCTCCCCGGTCCCCCCAAGGGCGCCTCCTCAGCCGGCCCTTCCCGCTGGCCCTGACCCTTCAGCCTCACGCCTCCCTGCAGCCTCCAGGCCCCTCGGCTGGGGGTGCAGAGCCAGCAATCTGCCTCTTCCACGTCCTCCCAAACCCCGCCCCCCCCCCGCCCCCCAGGTTCCAGCCCTGCCTCCTGGCTCCGCTCCCCCCACCAGGCCTCCTCACACCCCCGGCGGCGCGGCGCGCTCACCAGTGCCCTCGGGGAGGCTCAGGATGCCACTGCCCTCCACCCAGCGGTAGCATGGGAACCTGAACTCGTCCCCACTGGGCCCGGGGCCCTGCACCCAGATCCAGTTGCAGAACCAGGCGTCGTCCTGAAAGAAGTGCCGTTTGTGCAGTTTCACGAACAGCAGCGGCCCCAGGTACTCCTGCACGTCCGCCTTGATTTCCGTCTCCTGCAGGCGACAGAAGGGGCTCAGCAGGCGCGGGGCGTGCGGGACGGGGCCCTTGGACCGAGCCCCGCTCCCGCTGGACGCCCTTCGGCGAGCTTCTGGGAAAGGCGCGCGGAAGGAGCCAGAAGGAGCAGGGGGCGCGCAAGCCGCAGGTGCGGCGGGGTGAGGCGGCAGAGGGAACATGGGGAGGTGCGCTCCTTCCTTGACTTTTTCCTCGGTGCAGACCCTGCCTGTGCCAAGCCCCGCGCGGGGAGGGAGCGCACCGGGGCGCGGGGAGACGCGGGGCTGAGCAGGCAGCTCCGGCTGCGGCCGCGGCGCCCTCACCCTCGCCCCCCAGGCTGCGCGCGGACGGCCCACGGCCCGGGCAAGCCTCCCGCAGGACTGGCCTCTCGGGACCCCTTCAGGAGGCAGCGCTCGGCGGGAGAGGCAAAGGCGGAGAGGCGTGCGGGGCCGGGGCACGGGGAGACGGGGCCAAGGGAGGCTGAACTGCGTCGGGGAGCTGGGGCGCAGGGGGCGCAGGGGAGAGCTGTGCGGACAGGCGCGCGACCACATCGTGAAGTCTCCAAGGTAAGCCAGGGGCTTGGGATTGGTCCTGCGGGGCACGTTGGAAGGTGCGGATGTTTGGGAGAAATCGCTCCGGCCCCAGAAGGGCTGGGAAGGGCCGCGCGGAAGCCGCGAGACGGTGGAGAGGGTGGAGGTGACCAGGTGCAAGGGGGCCCTGGTGGGCGGGGGGAGGACGGAGCTCGGGGCGCGGAGCCCGAGGGGTCCAGGAGACGGAACGGAGCGCGGCGATTCCCGGTTAGAGGCGGAGAGAGGAGGAGGCGCGGACAGACAGCCGCATCTGGGGGGCATGGAGAGAGCCGGACAGGGGGTCGGAGCCGGGGCGATAACCGGGTGGATGCTATGGGAGCGGGGAAGTGGGTTGGAACTTCGGTGTTCTCATCTCTCGCTTCTTCCCCCGACCCTTTCGCCGGCGCCCCCATCCCCACCCGGTGCGGACGAAAAAGCCTGAGGGTCGGACACCTCGCAACGGTGGAGAAGGCTTGAAACGGCAGCTTTTGAGAATAGAGGGCACAGGAGCACGGAAATAGAGAAGAGAGGGCACCAGAGGACAGACGGCCCGTTCGAGGAAAGACGGAGCTCCGCGCGACGCCGGGCAGTTCCAAGGAGGCCGGGTGCGGGAGCGCGTCCTGGGCGCGCAGTGCGCGCCGCGTCCCGGCCGGAGGCTCCCCGGGCCCCGCGGCTCACCTGGCCTCGCGTGGGCCTCAGGCGCGTCCGGATCGCCGCCTCCCCGTGCTGGCCCACCAGCCACAGCTGCACCTGGTTGTTGGAGCCCGCGCACAGGGAGGAGCCGGTGGACACGCGGATGCGATAGAGACCCATCCTGCCCGAAGACGAACGCGCGCCGTCTGAGGCGGAGAAGAGCGGGCGCGCTAAATAACAGAGCCCGGGACCCCGCCCCTGGGAGGCCTCGCGGGTCGGAGGGTGTGGTGGCTCCCGGGTCTCCAACGGACCCCGCACGCAGCTGAGAGCTCAGCCCAAGAAGGCGGGCCTGGCGCGGGCCGAGGGGTGCATACCGTTGTCCCGGCGGGAGGAGGAGGAGGGAAGCGGGGGAGCAGACGAGGCGTGGGGCAGAAAACCTGCAGGAAGAAGGAATGGACCGCCGGCCCAGCAGACACATGCAGCGTGTGGCTGGGCGCGCGCACACTGACCTCACGAGGTGGCTCACCTCTCTGAGGGTCTTGCTTAAGGTTGCAAGGGAGGATGAAGAGGGCAAGGAGAGACGCTCTGCAGGGCTTTGTGAATAAAATACATCACGGCCACTGAATTAACTCGATCAACTTGGAACACTTGCAAGCCCTCCGTGTGCCAAACCCTGGGGCTCCTTCCTTTCTAGCTTAAAAGCCTCTACCTCTCTGTTGCCTACAGGAAAAAAACCCAAGCTTCTTGGCATGCAAAGCTCTTGCTCACGCGGCCTGCCCTCCTCCCACCTCATCCCACCGCACGCCATCCTCATCTCCCCTCTCTCCACTGGGGGTGGAGCCCTGTGTTTCCCAGAACCATGTTGTTTGCTTGGCAGTCCCTATTCCTGGAAAATTCTGTTCGGCCTTCTAATCCCTAGTTGGACCTCAGTTTTTCAGAGACGTCCTCTCTGGTGATTTCACCCCTCCCCGCCTTCCCCTCCAGAGCTCATCAGCTTTCCTCTCTATTGCTCTTGCCCTGTGCATGCCTCTGTTACTGCTCGCTTACTACGCCTGGTAATCTGTGTGTATGCCCACATTCCCACCCTGCTGAGCTCCCCCTAGGCAGGGCCCACACTCCCGGCAGGACTGACTCATTTTTATTTCCCCTGGATTGAGCACAGTATCAGGCTTTTGGGTGTCAAGAAGTGTTTGCTAAGGGGCGCCTGGGTGGCTCAGTCGGTGAAGCGTCTGCCTTCGGCTCAGGACATGGTCCCAGGGTCCTGGGATCGAGCCCCACATCAGGCTCCCTGCTCAGTGGGAAGCCTGCTTCTCCCCCTCCCACTCTCCCAGCTTGTGTTCCCTCTCTGGCTGTGTCTCTGTCAAATAAATAAAATCTTTAAAAAAATTAATAAATAAAATTAAATTTAAAAAAGAAGTGTTTGCTAAAACATACTGCAAGATCCATTATAAAGAAGTCCTTCCCCGAGGGGAGGCAAAGGCAAACTCACAGGCTACATAAGTAATAAAGGAATAGTAAGATCAACTCCAGTACCACCACGGCGTGGAGTACCATATGCCCGATGAAACAAACCAAGTCAAGAGAAATATGTCTGTAATGCATATTTTCTTGTTTGTTTACTTGTCTAGTGGGAAGTGCATTTACATGATGCAAAGTTCAAAAGGTAGAAAGAGGTATCCCTCCGAACCCCCCCATCCCCCCACCCCCCATCCCCGCTTCTCCCTCTTGACCCCATCCCCACGTCCCTCAGTCACTCCTACATCTTTCCGAGGCACATTCACAAGCAAATACATGCCTATCATTTTTGTTCTTTTCCTGCACCTGGTACCATATATTACACGCTGTTCCGCGGCTTGAATTTTCCACATTGCAGCATAAATCACAAGAGAAATCTCTTGTTAACCCTCATATTTTATCTTATATGGAATGACTCTCATTATTATTATTGTTTTTTAATTTAGAAGATTTGAGGAGCCAGGCAGAGAAAGACAAATACTGCTTGGCTTTACTTATATGTGAAATCTAAAAAAAAATTTCAAGGGGAACACACAGAAACAGAGAAAAGACTGGTGGCCAGAGGCTGGGGGTTGGGACAAATGGGGACAGGCTGGAAAACGGCACACACGTTCGGTTACAAGATGAATAAGGTCTGAAGATCGAATGTATAAGATGGTGACGAGAGTTGGCAACACTGCCTTGTGCAACTGAAATTTGCTGAGAGAGTAGAACTTAAGTGTTTGCACCAAAACGAAACAATAAATAAAGGTAAGCATGGGAGCTGATGGATGCGTTCATTAACTCTATTGCAGAAATCCTTTCTTATTGCATATGCATGTCAAATCATCACGGTGTACACTTCAGATCTATCACAATTTTATTGGTCAACTATATCTCAGTGAAGCTGGAGAAAAAGACTCAGGGGCCAAAGTGATTTTATGGGGGTCAGCCGCTTCCATATTCTCTGGTGTATCTTACTGTGCACGGCATCATGACTGTTTCCTCTCCTTTCCTAAATGTGGAACGCTGGCAATTTTTTCTTCATGACAGAACAATCCATGTCCACCACCGTAGAAAATGTAGGTAATTTGGGGGGTGCCTGGGTGGCTCAGTTGGTTAAGTGTCCGACTCTTGGTTTCGGCTCAGGTTATGATCTCGGGGTCGTGAGATGGAGCCCCTCGTCCAGCTCTGTGCTCAGCACGGAGTCTGCTTCTCCCCCTCCCTCTCCCTCCTTCCCAACCCTTGCCTGTGCTCACGTGTGCTCTCAAATAAAAATATAAAATTAAACAAAATCTTGAAGAAAAAAGAAAATGTAGGTAATTTGGATAAACAAAAGAAGAAGAAATAATAGGAAATCATCTAAAAGTCTACCCAAGAGATGTTACCTTTGCGTACACTCCCTTCCTGTGTAAGCAGGGAGAGGCTAGCGCTTACCCCTCCTTGTGAAGGAATCTCCCCTCCTAGAGCCCCCACGGCTGCCTTAAGTGATACCATGTAACCCTAGACCACATGTCGCTCGGACGAGACCAAGGATGAGCACCCTATCTGTATTAGTCAGGGTGTAGTCAGGAAAACTGATACCACCCTGGGCCCGTCAAGCCAAATAAAGAAACTTGATTACACAGGAAATGGAAAAGCTGAGAGGCCAACCACAGGATGGTGAGGCAAGGGAGAGGTTAGCAACAGCCGGAAGCCACTGCTACCCTAGGGCTGAAGGGGCAGCAGGAGAGGGAGGTTTCATTGGGGCATGGAGGTCGGGGCCAGCCGGAGCCAGAACCAAGGACAGGGATTTCCGGGGAGCTGGAACCACAGAGGGAGGGTCTGTTTGGAGGGAGCAGGACACTCATAGAAGAGAAGGAGCCACAGTCAAGGACCTCACAGGGACAGAGAAATAGGGGAAATGTCCCAGTCCTCCCCTTCTCCTACTCTCCAATCATCCACCACTGCCTTCTGTTGGCCAAACTTATCCAGAAGCCTCTGAGCTAAGGAACCTGAGGGAAGCGGGGAAAGGAGCAGCAGGGATGAGCACAGACAGGTGATGTCCAGCAACTGTCTAAGGGCAGCCAATCCATGGGCTAGCCATTGATTTGGTTTGGTTCCTACCAAAAAAGGTTAAGCTGAATCTAGTCATGAGGAAATAATTAGGCAAATCCAAAATTGAAAGACATTGTGCAAACAACTGGCCTAGACTTTCTGAAAAAGTCAATGGCATGAAAGATGAAAGACAGCCAGGGAACTTGCCTAAATAAAAGTACATTAGGGAGGGCGCCTGGGTGGCTCAGTTGGTTAAGCGACTGCCTTCG